TTGTATGTTGGAACTTTAACAGGATTTACCTGAACTCTTGTTCCCACTGCTTATATTTTAATAGTATGAGTTACCTTTTATTTCTTTTATTCATGTTTAAACCTTTGAGGAAGATTAGAAGTATGTGATTAATAGTATTTGGATGTGAACTTGTTGTGGTTGTGATCTCTCTCTGTGACACAAGTACTGCTCGGGGTCCGTGAGACCCTCGTGAACTCTGATGTGCCAAGGGCTCAAAAGAGAGATTATATCCATAAATTTATACCAAGCCTTATTCACTAACTCTTATTAATATTTATAGGATTAACACAAATGAAATTTGCCTCACTATATTAATTATCTTTTTGTTATTATTTTGTCATATTTTCTATGTTATTACATTTGATACACACTAATGATTTTTATTTTTGTGTGCATGTTTCGACTTGGGCCTGCTGAGTTCCATTGAGAACTTAGGCCCAAAATCCAGTCCAGCCTGCTTCCCTTTCGCGTATAGGAGTTTTCCGCATATCCCAAGTGCTGATGGGTCTGGTTAAGCTTACCAAGCCCAAATTGTAAAGAGTCCAGCTTCTTTCTTTCCTCTACCTTAGAAAATATTTACTATTGTTTGCTACTTCACATGTATAAATATCTTTGCATGACTAAATATCTATTGGATGATTTTCGATGCTTTGATTATCTAGGGACATAGGCAAGCCATTGCGAGTAGGTAAAAGCTGAATAAAAATCCTGCTGACCTTAGTTTTGACCACTAATCTCAAGTGTAATTTTTCAGCAAAAACAAAATTTTTTATCTTGTTGTTACTAATGATTTTCAATAAGTTTGGATTATGACAGATCTCAAAAGAAACACGAAATCTCTTTGAAAAATCAAACTACAAAAAGATAATTGCAAAGTTGTTTCCTGAAATAAAAGTCAAACACAACCGACATTTACAAACGAGTAGAGCTCAACGAATTTCAAAATACAAGTGTCACGACCCAAAACCTATAATAGTTGATGGCGCCTAACGCCGCCGTTAGGCAAGCCCATACGTGAGTCTCCAATTTTTTTTTTTTTTTTAACTTTTCAAAAATAGAAATTTTCTTAAATATACCGAATAGAAGTAAAATCTCATGGAACCGTACATACTTCTTTCCCAAAAATATCAAGTGTGTACATAAACCACGATGATAGTAATAATAAGTACAACAGTGCATACACGATATTAGACCCCAAAACCTGGTGCCATAAGTGCATGAGAAATCTAGGGGATATAAAAAACTACTATAACTACTGTCTAAAGTAAAATAGACAGAAATAGTAAATAAAGTAGAGGGAGACTCCGGTGCTACAGATTGAAGTAAGGCAAGCAGATCACCACGAAGTCTCTGTGAAAGTGCGTCTACACGCCCGTGTGACCACTAGAAGTACCTGTCTCAGTACCTGCATAATAAATGCAGAAGTGTACCGTGAGTACGTAAAATAATGCATATCCAGTAAGTATCTAGTCTAACCTCAAAGTTGTGACGAGGGGTCGACTTGACACTTACTAGTGGTCAGAGTTTAATAACATACATAAAGTAGACATGGAGGATGTACAACAAGTAGCAACGAAGCAGATAAAACATTAATAGTAAATTACCAACATGAATCTATGTAAAGTCACTAAAATGTCATAGTCGGTCTCGAAGGCACGAACACAGATGTTATCAAGAACCAAATCAAATATCAGGTATTAAGCACGAGTCTGCCTAGGCGTCCGTCCTGATCCCATAGGAATAGTGATACAGAGTACTGCCGAGGCGAACGATCCGATCCCATAAGAATAGTGATGCATAGTACTACCGAGGTGAACGACCTGATACCATAATAATAGTGTTACCATACTGCCGGGGAAAACGGCTAGATTCCATAAGAGTAGAAAAACTACCTCGCTCGCAGAAGTACATGCGAGTCGAGAAGACACGGATCTATAGTTCATCAAATATTTCACAATTTTCCAATATAAGAGGCTTAATCAATATTTTATTCTAACCTCAATCTCAGTCATAAATTAAGAAAATCAAGTACGCAGGGTAAATACAAATACCACAATTAAGGCATTATGTGAATCTAAGTCTATCAAGACATAACATAAATATAGCTACGTACGGACTCTCATCACCTCGTGCTTACGTAGCTCCCACAGCAAGTAGCACATAACCATTAATACACCTAAGGGGATAATTTTTCTTTAACAAGGTTAGGCAAGAGACTTACCTCACTTTCAAGTTCACTATCCGACTCTTTAACCTAACTAGAACTCCCCAAACGAAGCCGAGCAATATGAAACTAATCAAAAGTCTTATAAACTAATCAATAAATGATCAAAATCTCATAATTTAACTATTAGACAAATTTCCCAACCAAATTCGAAAAGTCCATAAAAGTCATCTCCGGGCCTACGTGCCCGAATTCCAAAATTTTCAAAGATAAATTTTACCCATGACCTCACAAACTCAAATATATAATTTATTCCCAATTCCATAATCAATTTTGTGGTCAAATCCTATTTTTATCAAACCCTAGGTTCCAACAAAAATCCCACAAATTCTCTCTAATTCCATGTTAAATCTACACATAATCCGTGTATTTAACTCAAGAATTGATAGGGGTCACTTACCATGTGAAGTTGATAAAAATCCCCCAGCAAATACTCTCAAATTCATCCAAGACCAAGTGGAAACTAAGAGAAAAGAGACTAAGTCCCGTAATAAAACAAAGCCTGCCCAGTGATTCCTTCTTCGCGATCGCGAAGGCCAATCTGCCACTAACCAAAAACACCCTTCACGTTCGTGATCAGCTGGTCGCGTTCGTGATGAATCAGCCCCTAGCCTTCCTTGTTCGCAATACCCTGGTCGCGTTCGCGAAGGCCAAAGGCCTTCCTGCCCAGCCCCACCTTTTCCTTCTTGGCGATTGTGATGAGGCCTCCGCGTTCGCGAAGCACAACCAGGTCCTCCTTCACGTTCGCAGACCACCCTTTGCATTTGCATAGGGCAACCATATGCCCTCAAAAGTTTCTTCTTTGCGATCGCGAAGCACACCAGCAGTTTTCAACCAACTCCAACTTGCTCCGGGTGGTACGAAACACACCCGAGCCACCCGGGACCCCGTCCAAATGTATCAATTAGTCCATAATCATATTGTATGCTTTCTCGAAGCTTCGGAATACACAAAAAAACACTGGAATCAAGAATCTCACCTCAAAACCTCATTTCTAAGCTTCAAACTCATTTCCACCAACTCCGAACGCGACGAAACATACTTAGACAACTCAGAATGACGCTAAATTTTATGCACAAGTCACAATTCACAATACGAACTTATTCCAAGGTTCGAAATCCCAAACGGACATCGATAACACCAAAATCCACTTTAAGTCAAACTTAAAAAATTCTAAAACCTTCAAACTGCCAACTTCCAACAATAAGCGTCGAAACGCTCTCGGCCTACACGAAACTCAATTCGAACATGCGTCCAAGTCAAAAATCATCATACAAACTTGTTGGAACCCTCAAATCCCGGTTCTGAGGTCGTTTACTAAAAATATTTACTCAAGTTAAACATTTCAACCTTAGGCCAGTATTATGGATCTAAGTGTTCCAAATTCAACTCAAACCCTTCCAAAACCAAACCAACAATCCCCGCAAGTCATAAAACAGTAAAAGCGCGTACGGGAAGTCTTCAATAGGGGAACAAGGATCCATAAAGCAAAATGAACGGTCGGGTCGTTACATTCTCTACCTCTTAAATAAACGTTCATCCTCGAACGAGTCTAGAATCGTACCTAGAGTGTTGAATAAGTGTGAATATCTGCTCCGCATACCCTCCTCGGCCTCCCAAGTTGCCTGCTCGACTGGTTGACCCCTCAACTGAACCTTCACTACTAAAATCTTCCTAGATTTCAACTTGAAAGCTTCCTATCAACAATGGCAACTGGCTCCACTTCATTACCCAAGATGTCATCAAGATGCACTGTACTGTAATCTAACACATGCGACCTGTCAGCATGGTACCTCCGGAGCATAGACACGTGGAAAATCGGATGAACTCCCGATAGACTGGGAGGCAAAGTAAACTTGTAAGCAACCTCCCCAACTCGCTTCAACACCTCAAATAGGAAAATAAACCTCGGATTTAGCTTACCCTTCTTTCCAAATCTCATGATACCTTTCATCGGTGAGAAGTTCAAGAGAAATTTCTCGTCCACCATAAATGATAAATCACGCGCTTTCTGATTCGCGTACCTCTTCTGTATGGACTGTGCTATGCAGATTCTCTCCTGAATCAACTTCATCTTATCCAAGGCATCCTTTACCAAATCAGTACCATATAACCTAGATTCGCCAGGCTCAAACAAACCGATGGAGGAACGACATCACCGACCATATAAAGCCTCAAATGGAACCATCTCAATGTTAGACTGATAACTGGTGTTATAAGAAAACTTGGCCAATGGTAAGAATTGATCCCACTACCCTTCGAAGTCAATAATACATGCACTCAGCATATCCTCTTGAATTTGAATTGTCCGCTCCGACTGCACGTTGGTCTGCTGATGAAAGGCTATGCTGAGCTATACCCGGGTACCTAACTCACTATGCACTTCTCTCTAGAAATGCGAAGTGAACTAAGGGCCTCTATTTGAAATGATAGAAATAGGCATACCATGCAGCCGGAGAATCTCCTGAATATAAATGTGGGCCTACCTCTCTAAAGAGTACGTAGTCACAACCGGAATAAAGTGTGCTGACTTGGTCAGCCTGCCGACAATGACCCAAATGGCATCAAATTTCCTTAGCGTCCATAGCAACCCAACTACAAAGTCCATAATGATGCGCTCCCACTTCCACTATGGTATAACCATCTGCTGAAGTAGGCCACCTGCCCTTTGGTGGTCGTACTTAACCTGCTGGCAATTCAAACACCTTATCACATACTCGACTATGTCCTTCTTCATCTACCGCCACCAGGAATGCTACCTCAGGTCACGATATATCTTTGTAGCACCTGGATGATTAGAATACCCGGAACTGTGTGCCTCATCTAGAATTGTCTCCCTCAGATCATCAACATTAGGAACACATAAGCGACCCTGGAGTCGTAGAACATCATTAACATAGATAGTAACCACTTTGGCATCACCCCGTAGTACCGTCTCTCTAAGGACTAACAAGTGTAGATCATCATACTGGCAAGCCTTGATCTGCTCGGAAAAAGAAGATTGATCCACCACACGTGCATGAACTCGACTGGGCTCAGAGATATCCAACCTCACAAGTCGGTTGGCTATGAACTGTATGTCCAAAGCCAATGGCCTCTCCTCTGTTAAAATGAATGCCAAACTACCCAAACTCTCAGCCTTTCTGCCTAAGGCATCTGCGACCACATTAGCCTTGGCCGGATGATAAAGGATAATAATAACATAATCCTTCAGTAACTCAAGCCACCTGCGCTGCCTCAGATTAAGATCCCTCTGGTTAAATAAATATTGCAAACTACGATGATCGGTGTAAACCTCGTAAGACACCCCGTAAAGATAATTCTTTACGTCCAACTCCAAATCATGCACAGGGTAATTCTTCTCGTTGTGATTTAGCTGAAGTGAAGCATATGTAATAACCCGCCCCTCCTGCATCAATACATCATCCAAGATGTGTGAAGCATCGCAATACACAGTATACGTCCCTGATCTAGAGGGAAACAAACACTGGCGCAATACACAGTATATGTCCCTGAATTATCGCCTCGCACGCATCGGACAATCAGAACGGAGCACCCTTATGGGTTAATCTAGTCAAAGGAGCTACAATAGACAATTAGTCCTCCACAAACCGACGATAATAACCTGCTCACCCTAAGAAACTTTTGATATTGGTCACTATGGTAGGACGAGGCCAACTCTAAACTGCCTCAATCTTCCTTGGATCCACCTGAATACCCTCACCCGATACAACATGCCCCAAGAAAGCCATGGAGTCTAAATTAAGCTCGCACTTGGAGAACTTCGCATATAGCTTCTGTTCCCGCAAGGTCTGAAGCACTAGCCTCAAATGCTGCTTGTGCTCCTCCATACTTCGTGAGGAGATCAATATGTCATCAATGAAAACAATGGAAAATGAGTCAAGATATGGCCTGAACACCCGATTCATCAAATCCATTAACGTCATTGGGGCGTTAGTCAAGCCAAAGGATATCACTAGAAACTCAAAGTGCCCATATCTGGTTCGGAATGTCATCTTTGGAACATCCGAAGCATGAATCATCATTTGATAATACCCAAATCTTAAGTCAATCATTGAGAACCCTCTAGTACCCTGTTGCAGATCAAACAAATCATCAATGCGCAGCAATGGATACTTATTCTTGATGGTGACTATTGGTGGTAATGAATGCATATCCACATACTCTCTTACTTATTCTTCACAAATAACACTGGTATGCCCGAAGGCAACACAGTTGGCCTGATGAACCCCTTCTCAAGCAACTCTTGAAGCTGCTCCTTTAACTCCCCCAGCTCCTTTAGAACCATGTGATAAGACAAAGTGGAGATAGGGTGGGTTTCTAGCACCAAATCAATGCCGAAATCGATGTCCTGATCTAGTGGCATACTTGTTATATTGGCAGAAAATACATCGGAAAACTCTCGTACCACCATCATTGAATCTATCACGGAGGTCTCTGCAGCAGTATCTCGAACAAAGGCCAAATAGGCCAAACAACCTTTCTTGACCATATGTCGAGCCTTCAAGATAGAGATAACTCGACTGACCTCTGCCCCCAGGCAGAGCGCCACTAAACCCACCAGAATGTCGGGCCATAGAAAGGAAATCCCCATCTCTGCCTCACGGGCCATAGAAACCTGAATCTCAGGGTGCAGACCAGCAATAAACCTCTGCACCCTCTCTACATCTGTGGGGAGTATAATAGTTGCATGGCGATACAAGTCACTGAATCTCGCCTCGTAGTCGGTCACAGACATATGACCCTGACGAAGCCGCTCGAGCTGACCCCGTAGCTCCTCTCTCTCAGAAGGTGGTATGTACTTCTCCAAGAATAGATGCATAAATTGATCCCAAGTCAAGGGAGGTGAACCTACTGGCCTACTATGGAGGTAAGCCTGCCACCATCTGCGGGCCTTGCCCTCAAGCTGATATGTGGTGGAGTCCACCTCGTTGGACTTCAATATCACCATATTACATAGCCTCTCCTTGCACCGGACAATGAAATCTTGTGGGTCCTCTGACCGCTCACCCTTAGAGACAAGAGGACGAAGGCTAGTCTATCTGTCCAGCCGCTTCTGCTGCTCAACGGTCGTGGATGGTCTGGGCTCTGGCATGACTGCTGCAACTAGCTAGACCCTGCTCGCAAGTAGTGCACCTAGGGTCTGATAAAAGGTAGCAACGTGCCTGGGAGCCTGAATGGTAGGGGTCTGTTCTCCCCCTCCCACCTGATATGTGGATGGATCCGCTGGAAATAAACCAGCCTATGTCATAGAATCCATGAACCACAACATACGACCTATGACCTCCTGGAAGCCCGGTGTGGTCATAAAATCTGCTTGGGCCAGCTCAGCAGCAGGTACCTCAACCTGCTCCTCGATAACAGGATCCTCCACTGGATCCACTGGTGGTACTACTAGAGAAACTCTAGGACATCCTCATCCTCTCCCAGGAGTTGTGGCCCTCCCTCGGCCTCTGCCTCTTCCTCTGATAACTGGGGGAGCAACCCCTCTACCGTCTGGTTCAACTATAGCACGCGTTCTCACCATCTGAGAGGGAATAAGATAAATATACTTAGCACAACATCAATTGAACGATAGGAAAAGAAGAAAGAGAAATTTCCAAACACCCTATAGCCTCTCGAAGATAAGTACAGACGTCTCTGCACCGATCCACAAGACTCTACTAAGCATGCTCATGACTCGTGAGACCTATGTGAACCTAGAGCTCTGTTACCAAACTGTCACGACCCAAAACCTATATTAGGTCGTGAAAGCGCCTAACGCCGTTGTTATGTAAGCCCATACGTGAATCACTGATTTAATTATTCTTTTTTTTAACTTTTAAAAACTGAAACTTTCTTAAATATACCGAATAGAAGTAAAATCTCATGGAACTGTACATAATTCTTTCCCAAAAATATCAAGTGTGAATAACACATAAACCACGATGATAATAATAATAAGTACAATGGTTCATTGATGCTAGTAGCCCCCAAAACCCAGTGCCACAAGTGCATGAGCAATCTAGGGTATGTACAAAACTACTACAACTGTTGTATGAAATAAAACAAATAGAAATAGTAAATAAGGTAGAGGGAGACTCCGATGTTGCATATCAAAGGCAGGCAAGCAGCTCACCACTATGTCTCTGTGGAAGTGCGTCTACGCGCTAGTGTGACCACGAGAAGTACCTGTCTCAGAAAATGCACAATCAGTGCAAAAGAGTAGCGTGAGTACGTAAAACGTGTACCCAGTAACTATCTAATCTAACCTCGAAGAAGTAGTGACGAGGTGTCAGGACCCCAATTTCCCACCTTAGGATGTCGTGATGGTACCTACTCTCGAAAACTAGGTAATCCTAACATTTAAGAATAGCTTAATAGAAATAAATCAAACAGGAATACTAAAGTAAAACTGGTAAACTCATATAACCTTACAAAATAGGATCTCAACAACAATCCTCCTAGTACCGGTGGAACTGAATCATAAGCTCAACAGAATAATCTATAATGTCTACTACAACACTGTCTGAATAAGAAATACAATAGAATGAAAAGATAAGGGAGGGTGACTTTGAGGCCCGTGGACACCGAGCAGGTATACCTTGAAGTCTCCGGGAAACAACTACAATCAATCACTAACGTCCAGCACGGGCAGACTGATACACCACAATGGTACCCAGTAAGTATGAAACTAACCTTGGTAGAGCAGTGACGAGGCTAAGTCTAGACACATACTAGGACATACCAAACATAATGAAAATATAATAACTAGAAGTAATGGAAAGCGGAGAAATAAATGATAAGGAAGTAGGTTAATAACGTATACTTATGGCAGAAGTGTAAGTATAGAGATAACAAGATGGAAGAAAATAAGAGAACCAAAATAGTCAAATACGAACAAAAGGGATAAGGCAAGGAAGAATAAAAGCAACAAGAACTATTCCACCAATAACTCTTTTCTACATGAGATGCACAACAAAAATCACAACCGAGGTACCACCTCGTATTCAGATTTCTCAATTTCAATCATAATCTTTCCTTATACCGCCATGTGAGCCTTACATTTAGATAGTTTTGAAAACATTTTTCCCAAAATAGCTACACGCACTTTAGCCCACCTAATGTTACTGCGTGGCTTCAAGTAATTCCCTTGCTAGTAATACGCACATAAATCCCACCTTATGTCGCTGCATGAACATTAACCCATATCCTTATACCGCCGCATGTGCATCAATATCACAACACAATAATAACTCGCACCACAAGTGCCCATGTACCATAACTTACCAATATCAACAATATCAATGTTTCCACAACAAATAGCTCATGGCTTAATCACAATATGTACAAGAATATCAACAATAACAATGAATGAGAATTGCTCAATAAGGAAGATATCTCAACAATTAACAACTTCACCTCAATGTGATAACGGCTTTCGCAACTTCAACACCAGTAACTCAACATGAAGATAATTCACGAAATAACGACTTCAAGTAAAAGAAATTTAACAGTTAAGGATGTAACAGGGAAATAAGGAAAGCAATAACTTCAACTAAAGCATAAGAGCAAAGTATCAAGTAAGAAGTAGAACAAGTGTTAACAAAAGTCAAATAAGGTAACCCATGCACCCACTCGTCACCTTGCGTACACAGCTTTCACATAACAAAAATGGCACAATCAATCCCAAATCCTAAGGGGTAGTTCCCCCACATAAAGTTAGGCAAGACACTTACCTCAACTAGGCCAACTCAACCCTCGAAAATAGCTTTCCCCTTAAAATTAGCCTCCATACGGCTAGAATGTAACCAAAATTAATTTAATATAATCAAACAATAAAAGTAAAAACAATTACAATAGATAAAGCTATGATATTTATACTTTTTTCAAAAAGTCAACAAAAGTCAACCCGAGGCTCGCCCGGTAAAAACCCGAGTCCAAGGATAATTTTTGACTAACCATACCCCCGCGAGTTGATATATATGATTAGTTTAAAAATCCGAGTCCAAATCGACTCTCAAAACTCAAATCCTCATTTTGCAAAAACTTGACAAAATTTCCCAATTTTTCCTCTTTGATTAACATAAATTTGATGTTAAATCTAATATATAATCATGAAATATGGTTGAAAATTTATTAGAATCACTTAGCTAGTGTTTGTAGATGAAAAGCCCCTCTCCAAATTGCCTCCTACCGAGTCTAGAGTTCTAAAATGTGAGAAATGGGATGAAATCCCAAGTTTTCTAACCTTTTGTTCAGTTGCAGATGTCGCAATTGCGACACTGGGTTTGCAATTGCGAAGAAGCCCTCGCAATTGTGGAAACTGCCTAGCTAACAGGGACATCACAAATGCGACAAGTGAGTTCGCAAATACGAACCCTGTCCATTCGCAAATGCGACAGATTAATCGCAAATGCGAACTACCCAGCTCAGGCCTAATCTTCGCAAATGCGAACAAGGTGTTGCAATTGCGACACCTGATACCCCCCTGCTATGTTCGCAAATAAGAGGCTGGTGCTCGCAATTGCGACATCGAGTGCCAGCACACTGGATTTCCTATTTTCAGTCCAAAACATTCTAAAACATGTCCGAAACACATCCGAGCCCTCGTGGCTCCAAACCAAGCATCTAAACAAGTCTAAAAACATCATACGAACTCGCTCGCGTGATCAAAACAAAAAGCTAACATCTAGAACTACGAATAGAATACCAAAGTGCATGAATTTCAAAGTAAAGTTCAAGAAATACTAGAATTACAACTAAGCGTCCGAATCCTAGCAAATCAACTGCAAATGATACCAAATTTTGAATAAAATTTTTAAATAACATAACGGGCCTATTCCAAGTCCCAAAACCAAATTACGGGACCCGATAGCCAAAAGTCAACCTACAGTCAAGCTTCTAAACCTCAAATTGCCAATTTTTGGCAAAGAAACACAAATCAATCTATGGACTTCCGAATTCGATTCCGGGCACACGCCCAAGTCCAAAATTACGATGCAAAGCTATCGGAGCCATCACAACACCGTTGCGGGCTCGCTTTCACAAAATTAAATCATTGGTCAACATATGAAACTTAGGCCTCTAAGAAAATAACCAAAGGATCCAAATCAACACAAAATCTTCCCGGAATGAAACCAATCAACCCCAAAATTCATAAAATCATAAACACACATGTGTGAAGCACAAAAAGGGGAAATATTGCGCAATTACACAAAATGGCTGGTCGAGTCTTTACATTCTCCCCCTCTTAAAACAAATGTACATCCTCGAACGTGCATAAGTACATACCTGAAGTGACGAATAGATGAGGATAATGACTCTACATGTCGTGCTCGATCTCCCATGTCGCCTCGTCGACCAGATGACCCCTTTATTTAACCTTCACTGAAGCAATATTCTTTGATCTCAACTTCGGGACCTGTCTGTCCA